CCCACCTGCCTATCTCCCCCCATCTCTGCCCTTTGGGCTGCCCTGTACCCTGCTTTGCAGGGCAGCAAGCAGCCCCAGAACTGCAGTAGCCCCTGCCATCCTGCACTCTGAGGTCCCTGCCGTCCTGAGCTCCACCACCCCAGCTGACCTTCATCATCTTCTTGCTTCTGCTGCTGATGAGGTGTGACTACCCTGACCCTTCGTGAGGCAGCTGCTGGCCACGTGAAGCTATCTTCCCCAGGTTTCGTGAGGAAAAACCTAGACCCTTTTCACATGTACTACTGCAAAACTAGGTCTTTCACATTCCATTCCATTCTTTTTTGTCTCCAGATACATGAATATTTTTCTCCCTATTGGTTGCAATCAATGTTCAGTCCCATCTACATATTTTGGAACCTTCTATTTATCTCCTAGATCTTAGCCCTCCTTCTAATTCTGTGTCATCAACAAATTTAATAATCTTCCCATCAGCCTCATTCAGGTTATTAGTAAAAATGTTAAACAGCATAGGACCAGGACAGAGCCCTGTAGCACTTCACTTAATAATACTCTCCAAACTGATGTGGAGCTGTTTCAATGCTCTCTGGGTGAGGTCATTCAGCCACTTATGAATCCACCTAACAGTTATTTCATCTAGTCAATATTTTACCATTTTCGATTCAATGAGGATTATCATGAGACACTTTGTTGAAGTCAGTGCATACTATGTCCACAGTATTCCCCTCATCTATTAAGCTAACTTGGTCAAAAAAGGCGATCAGTTTACTAGCATAACCTGCTTGTGACAAGCACGTGCTAGTTCTTGACAATCATTGCATTCCTGTTCAAACATGCTGCTTAATAAGATAGGGATAACATTTGCCTTCCTTCAGCCTTCTGAGACCATACCAGTTTGCCAGGAGTTCTAAAAAATCATAGTGGCTCTGCAGACACTCCACTAATTCTTTCACTGCTCTAGGATGTAATTGTAGAGAATCACTGAGATAACCTTGGAGAAGGAATATGACTTCAGTTAACAAACCCTGAGCTGTGCCCAGGAAGGAAAGAAGTTGTTAGAAACTTAAAGTGACCCCACTTTGACTCTCTTTGGTATAGGAGGGAGGGAAGGGAAAATGCTGTCAGACTTTTAAGATTCTGTTACAGGAGAGTTCCATTTCTTGTGGAGGTCGTTTCCCAGTCTGGCCTTCCTCAAAGGACTGAAGTTATTCATCTGGCTACACAGACTTGAATTAATTTAAGCTACCTAAGTGTTCCTTTCCTATATTAGACAAATGGAAGACATTTTGGGTGTAACAGTGGCTGGAGTCAAACACCACAGTTATTATACACTGAGGATATGTTATCTCTTCCTGATAATTATGCATTTTTATACCATAATCATGCAATAATTTGGTAATTGTCAGGTTATTCAACTAATTGGAATAAGTCTAATATAATTTTATAGGCTTTAATGTTTACATAGCTATTTTGTAAAATGTAAGGTTTCAACTTGTGGTTTGAATTCTTTTAAGCAATCGGAAGACTTATTCCAAGAAAACTTGGAATTTTTGTGGAGTAAATACATCAATTTTTAAATCTCAGATAAAAATAGGTGATTTAAAATCCTGTTGAATTTATGTAGAAAAGCAGATGTTGTAAAAATGAATATTATCTCAAGATTTATATTTATTTCATGGTATTTCTATGCCAATATCTTTATGTTAATTTAAGCAGATTGCAGAGGAATTTTCTAAGGGAAGGCAAATCTACAGATTTTTAAAAATTAAAGTATAATTATCATATTATGATTTGGGATTTTAAGTTTCCTGATTTTCAGTTTTATCACTGGGTATATAATTTGATTTAAATTTCTCTATGGAACACATGACCAAGTAAAAAACCACCGTGGGCACAATTAGAAATTTATTATGTGAATTGGGATTACTTAAAATTGTAAAACCACAGTATATTCAATTACTAAATCATCTCTTGATTTCACAATTTGGTTCAGATGCATTAGCAGCATCTAAAACTTTTGAATTGTTGTTAATATTGGAATGTGTTTTGACAATTCTTGGACTACAAAATATTTTTAAGTAAAAAATATCACTAAGATCGATTTCCAAGAACTCTGGAATAAAGTTTTGGAATATTCTATATTAACAGATCAGAGGTTGAGAATCTTAAAGAATATCACACAAGTTTCTTATGATCCTAGGTTAATCTAATCAAAGATTTTTTAATGCTTTTAGGCACTTCAGAGAATGTTTTTAAATAATTTGCTGTTAACCTCATTACACTGTATTTGTCCTTTTTAGAAAGGACAATAAACTGCATCATTTCAATACAGTACAATGATTCTAAAATTAGATTGTCTTTATTATGGCTGGTGTGGGTCTTCCGGGCTGTGTGGCTGTGTTCTGGAAGTTTTGTTTCCTAACGTTTCGCCAGCGCCTGTGACCG